GGTCCGCTTCATCGATGATCAGACACTGAAGGTTCTTAAACAGGAACTGTTTGGTGTTCTGCAAGTGATCCAACAGACGGCCCGGTGTGGCCACCAATATGTTCACACCTTTGATCAGTTTCATGGCCTCCGACTGGCGATTGGTTCCGCCCATAATCAGGCCATACGTGTGTTTATGGTATTTCATCAGTTCTTTGAGTACACCGAATGTCTGCATCGATAACTCTCTGGTGGGAGATATGATGAGAACACCGGTGCCGTTGCGGGGCATGAATCGCAACTTATACATCAACTCAATGGCCGGCAATAGAAACGCCAACGTTTTGCCGCTTCCAGTCTTGGCGGCGCCCACCAGATCCCTGACCACAAACACAGACACGCAATGAGTACATCATTAATGATAATTAAACCAAATTCATGGTTTTACACCAAATATTAAACGTAAAGCTAAAAGGTGTGTAAACGGTGTGATTATCGCATACTTTCCCTCCAAGAGGTGAGGAATGGTTTTGGACTGGATTTCTGTCATTTGCGTGAATTCCATGTCTTGAATGGCTTTTAACGTAAACTCCGAGACTTTGTCTTTGAGTTCTTCAAAACGCGTGACTGTCAGCGAAGCGCCACTAAAGGGTATACTCGTCTCGGGAACCAATTGCGGACATTCTTCGTCGTCGATGTCGTCGCCTTCTTCGTCGTCGTCAGACATCTCTCGATTTTGTCGGCCATTAATCGACTCTTCGTTTGCCTTTAATTTCTCTTTAAAAAAAATAAGACAATATTTAGTCCCAAAAACAACACTCAATTCACACCATAATTACTATTATTCATATCATTAACACCATTGTTGGGCCTCTTCTTGACGGGTCGGTCATCGATGTCCTCATCGGCCGAAGACATGTCATCAACAACGGTGTCGTCCGTCGCGAAGAGTTGCCGAGATAAGAACTCCGCAACAAAGAGAAATACAAACGCAACAAAGAAGTCAAAGGAGTAGTCCACCTCTTCGTGCACTTTAGGCATCGCTTATGGGATCAGATGTGCGGACACTTTCAACACGAGGAGATCGGACGCGGAATCAACTCAAAGACAATATCAGTGTTTATAAACACAAACACAAAACACATGTGAAGTTGTGTTTAAATCCCAACACTTCTCACAACACGTGCTTTGAATGAATGGCACGTTATTTATGGACACAAACGACAACTGATTGTGAATTGCGTGGCATTTGTTGTGACAATCAGTTTGTGGTCTCATTCTTGTGTCCAATTGATCCCAAAATGTAAGATAACTAACAACTGATCCAATGGTTTTTATCATTACTATTTGGCTAATGAATCACTTGATTGATAGGGCGACGGCTGCGACCGCATCGGCTCCGAGTCCCGCCTCGAAGGTTACCTTTAAGATCACACTGACATCTGATCCCAAATTGCCGTACAAAGTGTCTGTTTTGCCACTTCTTGTGGTCACACATTATCTCATATATTGTCTGTTTTTGTGTCCCATAGGCTGACGGTTCCAGAGAACGCCCCCTTTACCGCTGTTCTCAAGTACGCGGCCGAAGAGGTAACACATTTGATCCGTTGATTTTGTTGTAAATTAATTTTTTTTTGCACCACTTCTTGGGATCAATTGATGGTCGCGACGACGACAACAGTTCAAACAAACGCCGGCCACGAGTGCTATCATAACGGATGACGGAATCGGTATTAATCCGTCGCAAACGGCGGGCGATGTCTTCTTGAAACACGGATCAGAGTTACGGCTAATACCCAGAGATAGAGTCGGCTGTTGTTGACAACTGAGTGGTGGCCCGCGATTGTGGCGGTCCTGTCGTTGTCTTTCTTCTCACCGATAGTTATGTTTTTAGTTTAAATGTATTAATCGTTTTGTTTATTATTTTTTGAAACAAATAAATATTTAATTCATGTTATGGCATAAATTGTGAATTTAATTATGAATTGGTTTTATACTAAATTTTAACCATCGATTAGATCCATTAAATTCTTTAAAATACGTATTTTTATTATAAAAACAATGGATTGAAAATAAAGACAAATACAGAATATATTATATAACGGGATATATTTCACTAAATCTTATTTATAAACTAATTATAACAACTAAAAAATATTGGATAAAAGGATATTCAAAGCAAAGGATTGATAAAATAAATAGAAAATTAAAAAGTATATAAATAGCCAAATGTTATATCAATTTAAATACAAATACAATATAAATGTTTGACATAATTGTGATTAAAAGGGAATAAATGGTCGTTTCTTCGGCGCGACCGGAATAAGTCTGCAATTACGCGGTAATGGACTCGGAGTCACGCCATACAACTTGGGTTGCGGTGACGCCGGAGTACTTCTAGTGGTCGCCAAATGCAAGTCATTATTATTTATCATTGTTTCAATGAATTCTTGGATGTTTTGTGGCTTCGGTTCTTCATATTTGTTCACCTCATCGGCGAGAAGAGCCAAAACCGATGGTTTGCAGCCATTCTTATTGCGATAGAAGGCGTCTCTATAGCTCTGTTCGACTTCCAGTTTATTCCAAAGCGAATCCAATCTCTTCTCCATTTCCGCCCTCTTATCGGCATTTTGTTGATAACAAGTCTCGAGCTCTGAGTGAAGAGTCGCTAATCTCTTCATGTGATCGTCGGATAGTATGAAATCATCTGATCCTTCAAATAAGAGGTGTTTCTCAAAGTCTGAGTTCACATCCCTTTCCAGTTCTTTGAAGAGCTTTTCAATGATTTTCTTGTATTTATTGAATCGTTTTGAGAGCTCTTTCGTCAGATCCGAGACATAGCTCTGCAAATGCATCAACTCTTCATCGCATGGGATATTAGTAGCGGTTCTCAACTCTTTGGCCTTCATATTCATCTTCTTCAACAGTTTGTCTCGTTTTGACTTCAGTTCTGTCAATTGGTTTAGCCTTTCCTTCTTAAGCGCTTCCAATTCACTAAACTTATAGACAAGAATTCTTCCCAACTCTTCGCGCGACACATGGGTCGGCGCCCTAAACGACGGTAGCGTTAAGTCTGCGAGAATCGCATCAATTTTGCTCAATTTTGTGTCCGTGTATTGGATCAGTCGCTCCAGACGTGAGGTATCGGTCTTCAGCGCATTCCTATTGGCCGTCGAATGGATTTGTTTAATCTCTTTCATGCGGTTCATCATATCGTGAGTGCTTAACCCCATTTGCACCCAAACAGAGATCAAATCCTGGAACGCCTCCCGAGAATCCGCATCTGTCTCTGCGGCCACATCTTTGCCGGACCTAACCATCCATTCATACAAAACACTTAATCACACATTCATTGCTTATAACAATCACTATCAATACAACACTTACATCTGCGGGAAGTCCTCGTTCTTCACCACTGATTCGTTGTCCTCTTTGAGGAACCACTCCTGAAGACCAGTGACCGTCCAATTCATGGCTCGTGTGAACAATTCAAGTGACGACACAAATGCAAACACAGATTGAAGTGAAGGGCAAAGGGTTTGAAATATGGACTAATGGCTAACTTTAAGGCCAGTCAAATATATAATGTGCTTAAGTCAATGATAAGCCTATGGGTAATCTTTCTAGTATTCATCGTTTTAATGGTCAAAATATTCCATTTTCTCAAAACAATTTCAATGTTTTATCAATTTTTTCCAAAAATTATTACATTTAGGTCATAAAAACTAAACTACTGTCCAATTTGTAACTTANACATTATTTGTATTAATATTTATTATAATTTATTTTTAATATAAATCATGTTTTTGTAGTGAATTTGTGCATAAAATGTATGCAATATTTACTTGAATTAAATTAAAGACATTTTAACCTAAAATATCAATAGTATTGAAAATAATTGTCAGACAATCACAATCACACAGCGATACTATACATTAACCACAATTCGGGTATTTCTCAAAAAATAGATTAGCATTTCCATAGATTTAATATAAGTATTAATAGACTTGTCATAGACTCAGCACTAATTCCATAGAGTTAACATGCATTATTCCCATACGATCAATATTATCCATAGAAGTAGCATTAGTTCCATAGATTTAACAGTATCGATAGGATTAGCATTAATCCCATAGAATTATCATTGTTAATAAACTCAGCACTGTCATAGACTCAGCATTGCCCATAGAGTTATCATTGCTACACGTACTACATATTGTACATGTATTCCTCCCATACGATCAACATTGTCTATAAAATTAGCATTCGTCATTGTAAGATTAAGTTACAAATTGGACAGTAGTTTAGTTTTTATGACCTAAATGTAATAATTTTTGGAAAAAATTGATAAAACATTGAAATTGTTTTGAGAAAATGGAATATTTTGACCATTAAAACGATGAATACTAGAAAGATTACCCATAGGCTTATCATTGACTTAAGCACATTATATATTTGACTGGCCTTAAAGTTAGCCATTAGTCCATATTTCAAACCCTTTGCCCTTCACTTCAATCTGTGTTTGCATTTGTGTCGTCACTTGAATTGTTCACACGAGCCATGAATTGGACGGTCACTGGTCTTCAGGAGTGGTTCCTCAAAGAGGACAACGAATCAGTGGTGAAGAACGAGGACTTCCCGCAGATGTAAGTGTTGTATTGATAGTGATTGTTATAAGCAATGAATGTGTGATTAAGTGTTTTGTATGAATGGATGGTTAGGTCCGGCAAAGATGTGGCCGCAGAGACAGATGCGGATTCTCGGGAGGCGTTCCAGGATTTGATCTCTGTTTGGGTGCAAATGGGGTTAAGCACTCACGATATGATGAACCGCATGAAAGAGATTAAACAAATCCATTCGACGGCCAATAGGAATGCGCTGAAGACCGATACCTCACGTCTGGAGCGACTGATCCAATACACGGACACAAAATTGAGCAAAATTGATGCGATTCTCGCAGACTTAACGCTACCGTCGTTTAGGGCGCCGACCCATGTGTCGCGCGAAGAGTTGGGAAGAATTCTTGTCTATAAGTTTAGTGAATTGGAAGCGCTTAAGAAGGAAAGGCTAAACCAATTGACAGAACTGAAGTCAAAACGAGACAAACTGTTGAAGAAGATGAATATGAAGGCCAAAGAGTTGAGAACCGCTACTAATATCCCATGCGATGAAGAGTTGATGCATTTGCAGAGCTATGTCTCGGATCTGACGAAAGAGCTCTCAAAACGATTCAATAAATACAAGAAAATCATTGAAAAGCTCTTCAAAGAACTGGAAAGGGATGTGAACTCAGACTTTGAGAAACACCTCTTATTTGAAGGATCAGATGATTTCATACTATCCGACGATCACATGAAGAGATTAGCGACTCTTCACTCAGAGCTCGAGACTTGTTATCAACAAAATGCCGATAAGAGGGCGGAAATGGAGAAGAGATTGGATTCGCTTTGGAATAAACTGGAAGTCGAACAGAGCTATAGAGACGCCTTCTATCGCAATAAGAATGGCTGCAAACCATCGGTTTTGGCTCTTCTCGCCGATGAGGTGAACAAATATGAAGAACCGAAGCCACAAAACATCCAAGAATTCATTGAAACAATGATAAATAATAATGACTTGCATTTGGCGACCACTAGAAGTACTCCGGCGTCACCGCAACCCAAGTTGTATGGCGTGACTCCGAGTCCATTACCGCGTAATTGCAGACTTATTCCGGTCGCGCCGAAGAAACGACCATTTATTCCCTTTTAATCACAATTATGTCAAACATTTATATTGTATTTGTATTTAAATTGATATAACATTTGGCTATTTATATACTTTTTAATTTTCTATTTATTTTATCAATCCTTTGCTTTGAATATCCTTTTATCCAATATTTTTTAGTTGTTATAATTAGTTTATAAATAAGATTTAGTGAAATATATCCCGTTATATAATATATTCTGTATTTGTCTTTATTTTCAATCCATTGTTTTTATAATAAAAATACGTATTTTAAAGAATTTAATGGATCTAATCGATGGTTAAAATTTAGTATAAAACCAATTCATAATTAAATTCACAATTTATGCCATAACATGAATTAAATATTTATTTGTTTCAAAAAATAATAAACAAAACGATTAATACATTTAAACTAAAAACATAACTATCGGTGAGAAGAAAGACAACGACAGGACCGCCACAATCGCGGGCCACCACTCAGTGGTCAACAACAGCCGACTCTATCTCTGGGTATTAGCCGTAACTCTGATCCGTGTTTCAAGAAGACATCGCCCGCCGTTTGCGACGGATTAATACCGATTCCGTCATCCGTTATGATAGCACTCGTGGCCGGCGTTTGTTTGA